CCTCCGCTGTGGCTTCGTCCGCTCCCCTCTGAGTTCCTTGGAGATGGTAGAGAGCATGTAACCTGACAACAGCCAGATGCATGTGGCGGAGCGAGACATGCATCTGGCTGTTGTCAGGTTAGAGAGCATGTGCCAGAGGATTAAATTCAAAGCAGCAAAACATACGGAAATGATCCAGGGTTTCCGCGGATCATTTAAAGTAATTACAATTCATTATTTCTGGGGGGATTTTTTCATTAATTTCATAATTTTTTATGGAATTTCGGTGTAACAATCAACATGTATCGAATCGAACCGAAAACTGTGACCAGAAACCGTGAATCGAACCGAACCGTGGATTTTGTGAATCGTTCCACCCCTACATTGTATCATGATATATTTGGTGATTTACACCCTTAGCTATGGGCCCCAGCCTGCCTAATACCTGGAAGAGATTCTTTGTATGCTTCAACATGTCTAGCAGCATGGAGACTTTTCACCAAACCCTAGGGCTGCAACGTTTTCTCATCCTAAAGCATAACCAATGTGTCACCTTAAAAGGATAAGCACCAATAGAGGAGCAGGACTTTACAGGGTGTTGAAACGGACCTTAAACCTTGATGGGACAAGCTGGCACAAGTTTTTGTAAAATATTCAAACATTCCCTGTAGCAGTCCAAGTCCCTGTCTGTCTTAAATCCTCAACTTCACAGTCAAATCAGCCATAAGCTGCCATGACAGTCCCTGTCCTGTTACTCCCATATGAACAGTTATAGTGAGTTTGGACAGTCTTTATATACAGTGACCCCTCACTACAACGCACTTCACCTTTCATGGCCTCGCTGCTTCACGGATTTGCATTGTGATTTACATTGGTTATGGTGTCTCCACGCTTCTTCTCTACCTGTGTGTCAATAATGTTAGTGTTTAACATCTTAATATACATGTACATGTACGTAAAACAGCTTGCCAAATTTAAGTTTGCAAACTGTCTCCAAAAACCATAATGTAGACAAAATGTCCTGCATCGACAAAGGCACTTACGGAGAGAAGAAGATGCTTACTATCGCAGAAAAAGTGAAACTTCTGAACATGCTAAAGGAGGGTAGCAGCTATGCAGCTGTAAGCCACCATTACAGAATGAATTAATCTTCTCTTCGTTACATAAAGAAGAAGGAAAATAACATAAGGAAAACAGCAGCAATAAGTTCTGAAAAATTTATGAAACGCTTTTGACTTAAAATGTTTCTCTGCATGGAGAGACACCCTTTGCAAATACCACTGGAGCAGAAGCATTCATGACCAATAGATTTGAGAGATCATTGAGGAAGGGTGATATAAGTATTCAAACAAGTTTTCAATAATAAGTTTAAAAAAATAAAGGTCACTACTTCACAGATGTCGCCTATCACAAGTTCTGTTTGGAACATAAAACCTGCGAAAAACAAGGGTTCACTGTATATCAAGACGCCATTCTGGTGGGTCTAAACACTCATGTGGCCCTGTCCCATCCATGCACCAAAGCTGTTAGTGAACATTAGTTAAGCTTTGAATACTGTAATTCCAGACAAGCTGGTTGAAACTCCTGTCTAGAAGAAAAGCACATGCCTCGCTCCTGATACTAGAGAGGGAGAAGAAAGTTTAACTAACATGGAGTTCACGAAATTTTGAAAAGACCCTCCCTCTCCACTTTAGAAAAAAAATGCACAAGCACAACCCTGTACCTGCTCCCCAGAGGGAACACTGGGGAGCAGGTACACTCTGTTTAAAAGTTGCTTTTTGCAGAACTTCCTCCACTATATCTTTAGGGTATTAAAAGAATTGAAGAGGATATTTCTCAGGAATGAAGCATCCAGATTCATCTACAATAAGTGATGGATGGCATTCTTGCACTTACGGTTCCCCCCCCAAAAATTTTAAATCCATAAAATCTGGTCATTGTGGTGCCTACAAACATTAGCCAATCCGTTTTCCCTTTTGTTGAGAGTGGATTTGCTGCTTGTTTGTCAATCAAACATTTTGAATACGTGTCGCCATGATGTTATCTACTTAGTCTCCATTTGTAACTTATATGCTGTTTGGCTAGCAGTCTGCCATTACACCAAAGCACGAAGAAGTACTCCTATGCTTTTTCGCTGCTGCGGCTTTTTTGAGCTACACTTTTTTGTAGGGATGCACGACATTGGGATTTTGGCCGATATCCGATATGCCGATATTTTAAAACTCATGTAGCCGATAACCGATAACGATGTTAAAGCTGGACAAAAATAAGTAGTCATTGAAAATAGCAGTTTTGTTATCCATTTCTGACACTTTGAAAAATAATATACCGTAAATTCCGGACTATAAGCCGCTACTTTTTTCCCGCTGTTTGAACACGGCCTATAATACAGTGCGGCAAATAAATAGTTTTTTTTTCATGGCGCGAAAAACAGACCAATAAAATTGATGGATATTCAGAGAGGTCAAATGAAATTGTGCGATACATAATTCTCACTTTCACTGTTATTTGCAGTCTTGTAAATCAGTCATTCATACTGACCCTACTCGTGGATACTCGAAGAAAAGCATACAATGCCGCTTTTAAATTAAAGGCAATAA